ATCATACACCAATTATCATACACCACTCATCATACACCACTCATCATGCACCACTTATCATGCACCACCCATCATCCAGTTAGCTCTAGTTTCAAAAGCTAGAGCTCCAGTTAGCTCTAGTTTCAAGCGCTCTAGCTCCAGGTACCTCTAGTTTCAATAGCTCCAGCTCCAGTCAGCTCTAGTCAATAGCTCTAGCTCCAGTTAGCTCTAGTTTCAATAGCTCTAGTTCCAGGTAGCTCTAGCTTCAATAGCTCTAGCTCCAGTTAGCTCCAGTTTCAACAGCTCTAGCTCCCGTTTACGTGGCAGGCGCAGCACTTTGAACCTCCATGCGCAGAATTCGTGGCAGGTGCAGCACTTTGTGAACCTCGAGGTGCAGATTGCGTGGCAGGCACAGCACTTTGTGAACCTCCACGCGCAGATTTCGTGGCAGGCACGCTACAAAATGCGTTTTCGAGAGATGTCTTAAAATAGAAAGGGTGGCCCCGAAGCTGGCAAGTCAAGCTTTGCGGAACGACGTGCGCGAGACGGTCTCGGGTCATGGTCGGGTCATGGTCGGATCATGCTCGGAATCGTCCCTCCATTGTGGAAAGAATTTTCACTTGGTTCTTGAAGCGCAGATTTCGTGGCAGGCACAGCACTTTGTGAGCCTCGATGCGCAGATTTCGTGGCAGGCGCAACACTTTGCGAACCTCCATGCGCAGAGTTCGTGGCAGGCACAGCACTTTGTGAACCTCCATGTGCAGATTTCGTGGCAGGCGCAGCACTTTGTGAACCTCCATGCGCAGATTTCGTGGCAGTCACAGCACTTTGTGAACCTCCATGCGCAGAATTCGTGGCAGGCGCAGCACTTTGTGAACCTCGAGGTGCAGAGTTCGTGGCAGGGACAGCAACCTCGAGGTGCAGATTTCGTTGCAGGCACAGCACTTTTTGAACCTTGATGCGCAGATTTCGTGGCAGCCGCACTACAAAATGCGTTTTCGAGAGATAGCGGACGCACGAAATGCTATGTCTTAAAATAGAAAGGGTGGCCCCGAAGCTGGCAAGTCAAGCTTTGCGGAACGACGTGTGCGAGACGGTCTCGGGTCATGGTTGGGTCAGTGTCGGATCATGCTCGGAATCGCCCCTCCATTGTGGTTAGAGTTTTCACTTGAAGTGCAGATTTCGTGGCACTCACAGCACTTTGCGAACCTCCATGCGCAGATTTCGTGGCAAGCACAGCACTTTGTGAACCTCCATGCGCAGATTTCGTGGCAGGCGCAGCACTTTGTGAACCTCCATGCGCAGAATTCGTGGCTGGTGCAGCACTTTGTGAACGTGGAGGTGCAGATTTCGTGGCAGGCACAGCTTTTTGCGCGCCTCCATGCGCAGATTTCGGGGCAGGCGCAGCACTTTGTGAACCTCCATGCGCAGAGTTCGTGGCAGGCACAGCACTTTGTGAACCTCCATGCGCAGATTTCGTGGCAGGCAAATCACTTTGCAAACCTCCATGTGCAGAGTTCGTGGAAGGCACAGCACTTTGTGAACCTCTATGCGCAGATTTCGTGGCAGGCGCAGCACTTTGTGAACCTCCACGCACAGAGTTCGTGGCAGGCACAGCACTTTGTGAACCTCGAGGTGCAGATTGCGTGGCAGGCACAGCACTTTGTGAACCTCCACGCGCAGATTTCGTGGCAGTCACAGCACTTTGTGAACCTCCATGTGCAGATTTCGTGGCAGGCGCAGCACTTTGTGACCTCGACGTGCAGATTTCGTGGCAGGCGCAGCATCTGGGGAGCTGGAAGCTGAGAACTGGCGACTTTGTAGTACAACTTTAGTACGCGGAGTAATCTGGCGAGGCTGAGAACTGGCGACTTTGTAGTGCAACTTTAGTACGTGGAGTAGGCTGGGGAGCTGGAGGCTGAGAACTGGCGACTTTGTAGTACAACTGTAGTACGCGGAGCAATCTGTGGAGCTGGAAGTGAGCTGGCGACTTTGTAGTACAACTTGAGTACGCGGAGCAATCTGTGGAGCTGGAAGTGAGAACTGGCGACTTTGTAGTACAACTTGAGTACGCGGAGTAGGCTGGGGAGCTGGAGGCTGAGAACTGGCGACTTTCTAGTACAACTTTAGTACGCGGAGCAATCTGAGGAGATGGAAGATGAGAACTGGCGAGTTTGTAGTACAACTTTAGTACGCGGATGACTCATCTCTCGCGGCTGAGTCCTCTCTCACGGCTGCTCTGGCGCCGCTGCAGCTGAGTCAGTTTGCTGTAGCTTCAACAGCCTCCAGTAAGCTCTAATTTCAATAGCTCTAGCTCCAGTTAGCTTTAGTTTCAACAGCTCTAGCTCCAAGGTGGCATTGGGTTGGTCAAAAGTCCGGAGCGCATGCGTCAGGCTGAGGGACACGAGGGACACGCATGGTGGAAAGAACCGGGACACTCCTATAGGTCATTTTGTTCTTATAGGAAACTTCCGCCGCCGGCTTGCCGGGAACTGCTTGAATATAAAGGGTACTGTAAAGGGTCATAATAAGAGGTTTCCATTCAAAACAAGTGGCCTGTTTGCATCCTGGCTCCTTGAACAAGTTGGCAGGCTTGCCCACATCTTTGTCGCAGGAAGTGCATCTGTTCTGGTGGTACCTGTTCCTCTTGCCGCCGAAGGGCCCAAATTGCGCGCTACCCTCCCACGTGAAATCATAATATCCTGGATGTTGCTTTACTCCTGGTCTGTGGTTGACGCTTTTGGTGCTCCCATGCTTGGAGCCAATCCCTTGATGTGCCTTCACTTTTCTATACAGGCAATTCTTTTTATGGTATGCAAGTCCTGCCTGAACCACTTCCTCTTTGCATCCCAGGTTTTCGCAACGTACCTTGTTTTTGGTGCATGCGGTCTTCTTGTGGTCTTCCAAATCGCTCTTGGGTACCATTCCTTTACATTTGTCGCACTGTTCAAGCCTGTGAGGACACGGTTTCACATCAGAGTCATCAGACTGGATCGGCTGTGCCGCAGCTGCACGGGAGCCAGTTTGATGAAACTCCCAATCTTTGGCCAGCACTTTTGCCTCACATTCCTTTTCGGCCCAGTTCTTGTTCCTACAAATCCTCACATTGCCGGCGCATTCATGCTCCAAATGATGAGGCAAGCGGAATCTTGGCATTCGGCCATCCACGATGCTGGAATCGTGCATTTCTTTGCATGTCGAAAAGGTGCACTTCGGCGGTTCTTCAGGTGCTTGTGCCTCGTATGGACATCTGACTCGGTATTTCGGACCTGGCCAGGGCAGGTAGCACAACATCAATTTAAGAATAATTCCATGTGAGCAAAAACTCAGTGCGCATTCGGAGCACATCACATGCACATTCGGTTTCCGTTTTAAGTCCATGGATGGAAGCGATACAATGCTGCATGCCGCCAAGAAACACTTCCCAACAATCTGGGACGGACCCTCCGGCCCAAAGAGGTGCAAGGGCAAGTCTTTCCTTGCAAATGCGAAGCGACAAATCGTACGAATAACCGAATCTTCTAAACTGTGCTTCCCTTCCAACAAAGACCCTTACCAGCGCACCCACTTCACCTTCTCCATGTCGTCAGCATCAACCTCAATGTCCTTGCCATCTTCGCGGCATTTCATTGGGCATGGTGCCATGAACTCCTGGCATTTCCCGCAGAGATGATCAGCCGTCTCTTGCCACATGACGTTCTCAGCACACCATCCACAAGGAAGATGAAACCGCTTGCAATCCACAAAGCAATGCTGTAGAAGCGCATCCTGACCACCGTCCAGGTCAGAGTTCCAAAACATTCTAAAAGCTGAGAAACCTTCTATCTGAGCAAGCCAAGTTTCCGTCCAAGTTTTACTTTCCTTGAGAAGAACTGGTTCTGCGCAATAGGGGCATTTGACCTTGAACTTGGTGCAAGACAAGAAGTGAATGAGATAGTCTGATCCGCGAATTCGAGAGCCTCTGCCGGGCTGATCAGCGATTGACAAGTGACCACACACAAGAAGTCAGAATGATAATGGTGACGATGTTAAAAATCAATGTCTCATTATATTATGCATTGTTGCCCGTAAATTATCAAATGGAATGTACAGTGAGCATTATATCAATCTACTCAAGCACACGGCTTGGCTCAAAACCGTCCCACCATGTCCCACCTGGCCTTCTTCCGATTCTTGCGAGCATAACGGACAGCTGACAAGACAGCTCTCACAATCCCGCATCCAATGTTGAAGTAGATCCCGCTTTGGCATCTGTTCCTCACAGCCTTCACCTGGAGTTCGGAAAAAAGTGCCCACCTCTTTGCATGTTACTCTTCTTGCTGCCTCAGTGCAGCTGGACTTAAGATGCTCTTCAATCCCGTTGTACTCCACAGACTCGAAGCACAAATAGCACTGTGACGCCTTTTCACGGTTGCAATCAAGGCTTATATGTTTGCATTCATCCATTCTCCTCAAATCTCTTTTTCCACATTGCCTACAATGTACTAATGCCTTCTCACACTGGGTCGAAATGTGCTTGGCGATTTCACAGAGAGGAATTTCTCGAACTTCACAGAAAGGACATGAAACACAATTTCTGGGACAGGTCCACTTTAAATGGTGCTCCACTTCATCCACATCGATAACCTCCCCACATTCCTGAGGGCACTGCACTGTCTCTGTCTCCAAGTTTATCTGCTCCAACCGCTCTTCGGCAAAGTTCATCTTGGCCAGCAAGTTCATCTCAGGATTGAGGCTTCCCAGCCTCCCCAACGAATTGGCGGTGAGTAACGGCAAGTAATTGCCTTCTGTCAAGCCCCTGCGGCAAAAGTCGTGTGGACGACACCGACCCGCGGAACTTGAAATGTGAAACTTTGTCACATGATGGACCTCGTCGCATTTCAGGACATCCCTGTAGCAGCTGTTGTCTGGAATTTGTTCAGTCTCTATGTTCTCCTCAAACTTGCTGTCGCGCCAAGTTGCACAGTCCACCCAGAATCTCTGACAGCTAGTCTGCAAATGCGCTGCTTCGTCCATTTTCAGAAGCTCGGCCCCACACCCTTTGATACAGGAAACAACATTCTTGGGACACTGGGTTGCCAAATGTGGTAACAAATCCTTGAAAGCCACGTCCTTTGCTTCACACCCTCTTGGGCAGGCGACCTTGAACATGCTGCACTCTGTCAGCAAGTGATGCTCAGCTTTTCCTTCTTCATTGACAGGAATCCAGGTGTCACATCTAAAGGGGCATGGAAGCTTGATGAACTCACACTTCTGCATGTGCTTTGATGCATCGTTGTAGACGATGCCACCAGCGGCATCAGGAGCAGAGCAGCCGCCATCTGAAAACGGACACTGCAACTTGACACATTTCGATATATGTGCAATCAAATCCTGTCCGAGGTGCACATGGAAACCAGCTGCAGAACACTGCGGAGTGCAGCGATGTTCTTGTGTGCAAGAGACACTTGGGTCTTGAATGCACTTCTGATCGTACCTTGATGGGCAAGGAACCCAAAACATTCGGCAGCCATCTTGCGACGCAGACATAGCGCTCAGCCTCAGCACGTTTATTTTTTTGAGAACCAGGACCAGGCATGAACCAAGCTGGACTCGGGGTGTGACTGGTGTTTGCGATAATTCCTGATTTGAACGACCAAAATCTTAGAGTCTGAGGCTTCAACTGACCAGCTTTCAAATGCGTCTTCAATTCTCTGAACACATGTCTGTCGCCGCACCCCATCGGACACAACGGCTGAAATTTCTTGCAATCTTGAACAATGTGAGCCATGTTGTTTCCAACGCCGTCTAGCTTGTCACCACATTCCCCACAATGCGTCGCAGCGTTGTCCTTGTACTCGTAGCTGGACATCGTAAGAGAACACCCAGGCCACTTACATTTCATCTTCAAATTTGGGCAGGCTTTGTTCACATGCCTGTTCATTTTTCCTTCGCACAACTTGAGCCCACACCCCAAAGGGCAAGGCTTTGCTGCTTGGCGACATTTCGACTTGTGGAGATCCAACAGTTCCAAATATGTTTTCCTGCCACCCCCCCGCACCGTGTCGTTGCACCGCAAGCACTTTACAGCCAGCCTTGTGCAGTCCTTCTTGAAATGTTCTTCCAAGCGATCACGGCACATGGATTTACCACAACTGCCATCAATTCGCACTTCCCACTCTTCAGCCACTGAAAGATTGGCCCATAATTCTGGCCCATCCTCAGCGCTTCCGGGGCATTTCACCCGCCGCTTCGGGCACAATGATTGCTTGTGACGCTCGATCCTGAATTTGGGCACAATCTCCTCGCAATCAGTACATAGTTGCGCCTCACACAATTGGGTGTCTTGACAGCACAAACGTGACCACTCAAACATGAAAATATACGATCCTGCCTGACACCATGCTTTGTGTTCTTCCTGCGCAGCGCCTCATCATGGCGATGTGCCACAACAAAAGGCGCGGGCACAAGCCAGAAAACTCTCGGTGGGAAAACCTCCGCTAAGCATACAAATAGATGAGAACATTGAAAGGATGGGAAGAATACTGAGTTTGTGCAACGAGCCACTTGATTTGGCAATCATCTCGCCACACTCTTTGCATGGTTCCAAATCAACACCTTCTTCGTTGCGACATGTGTGTCCGGCGAGGAAGTCCTTGCACATCATTTCCTTGGCAAAGTGGTTTCTTGAATAGTTTTATAACCTGAAGAACATCCCAAACAACATAGAGGCCCGCATTGTTTTGTGTCAACGATATCTGAGAACCCACATCGTGCTTGGAAAATTTGCTCAAAACTGTTGCGCTTGGATAATGTGTCGTTCTTGGGCTCTTTCAAACCCAGCTTGCTTGGCGAGCTATTTGTTATGAAGCTGGAAACTGTTTTTGGTATCATTGTGAACTTATGAACATTGTGTGCGAACCTTTCTTGGGAACTCGTCGCGTGCCTGAAACTTGTCAATTCGGACCCTTACCTGTTTCTTGCGAACCTGGCAACTTCCTTAAGAATCTGGGGAAGTTGGAGCCTTCATTGGAACCTTTGTAGTCGTGCTGGTTCTTTAAGCTCGCCGATGGTGATATCTTTCCCCGGCTTGTGTCGGAGCCCAGAAGTTTGGTGGGAACTTTGGTGAAACTCAACTCGCCTCTCTACTCGTGGAACATGAACCTGGAGGCTTGTTTAATCTATGTTTAACAAGCTCCAAGACTCGCTTGCAATGGACATGGCTTGAGATATGTGGAAAGGTCATGGAGGTTTATTGGACAAGAAACGAAGTGTGTTTCAAACCCAGAGGACCCTCCTGGCACAGGTTCAGCCGGTGAAGAATCATTCTGCGATTACCAATTCCTTCTGGCCAAACACTGCGCTCAAAACAGGGATCGCAGCGAAGCGCCTAGAGCTTTAGCGCATTCGCGTGAGCCAGAGGCATGAGCTGCGCGCTCTTCCTTTTGCTGGACATATAACGCAGACGCATACATAGGTCCTGGTTGCTTTGGATAGTTTTTTGAATCAAACCTGGAGCGTTTCCCGTCGAAAGTGGTTCTTCAAAAGTTCTCCTTTCCGTTTTTTCAGCAAAGCTCCATCAACCTTCTTGAGCATTTCTTCAATGTGAAGTTGGACCGATTGATTTTTTCCGCGTTGCCCAAGGCTGTTGATGTGTAGTAGGCACCAGCACTATGCCCTCTAGCTAGACAAGTTCAAGAAAGAGATCTGCGGCAGTTCGACTCATGCATCAACGGCGCAAAAAGGCTCTGCGGCAGGAAGAGAGCATGGGAAGTAGGTTGACACTTCCCATCTTTTTTTTGCCTCAAAAGGGTGGCCCTTGACATTATCGAGGGGGACTGCAAGTCAAGGTGGTTTGCAGCGGGCAAAAGCGAACGCAGTCTATTCGCTCAGCTTAGCCGTGTGTACCTGAAAGTCAGGGCCCTATTCCAACCATCAAGGCACCAAAAAAGCACTAGGTTGACAAATGCAACGAAAAAATACAAACAAACAATTATACACCCAGTGTCCTCAGAACATGCACGACATTGCACAAGGCCTTTGCACTCCTTGCGATGGGACCTCTCACAATCCCAACGCTTCTCCGCACTTCCGCCACTTGCAGAACATTCGGGGCAATCATCTCCGAGGCATACACCTTCCAGTCACTAGCTAGCAAGCCCGCGAGATTCCCAATTCTCTCAGCCCCGAATACATATATATAATCTAAATTACTATAATTAAATTACACATAAACGCACGTCAAGAGTGTGCTCTTGATATCTAGATCTAGATTGCGAAGCATGCCAAAGTCTCCGTCAGCCAGCCCGACCTAAAAAGGGCCTAGTCCTAGCCAGAGGCAAGCAGTCTATTGGACCCACCAGCACTGAGAACGAGCCATCCCCTTCCGTACCTTTGCATAATTTGTCAGCTGCAAAACGCACGCCACTTCACCGGCTGTAAGAGCCCTACAAGGCTTGAGCCACCCCTCACCCAACACAAACCTACACGGACCTACTCAAACAGCAATACTGGAGGCGACCACAATCAATGCTCGAATCGGCAAACGCAAATGCTCCATACTGGTCCTATGTTTTCAGGCTTGAAACTAAAAGGGCTGTGACGAGGGAAGCTTGACGCAAGCAAATGGAAAAGAACACACTGTGCCTAGGTTGTCGGCGTTGCAGCCAGCGTTGTCACATTGGTGAGTTGGAGGATCATTCCGCTTTGGGCAATCTTTCTCATGCTCGTAAAGCCTCGGGACGCCAGGCATATCTACACTTTGGCCACACCAAAGAAATAATGCTAGGTCGAAAGAACAAAGCGCTAAGCAGGCAAACGGTTGATTGGCGAGATACTCGTTCATCTCATGCAGCTTTTGACACCAGCGACAAGGCAGTTGCAACGCATCTCGCTGGGGGCACTGATGCTGAACGTGCTCCACGAATTCTGCTTGTGGGATGAATTTGAGGCACAACGCGCATTGGACCTTCGGGTTGTTTGACTGCGCAGTGGTATCAAGGATCGGGTTGAAGAATTGGTCCTTGTATTTGTCCAAGTTTGCTGGCGTCGGTGGCATGTCCAATAAGATCATATCATCGTTCTTCTTCTGGTCCAAAATTTCCCCAACTTCAACTGCCACCTGTTTGGCCTCGCGCAACATCTTCCAAAGCTCCTCCTTGTCCTTGTCGCTGAGATTGGCTTCTGGACATTGGGCCTCAGCAATCATTGCGCACACAACACGCACCAGCGTGCCAAAATCTACGAGCCCTCCAACTGCAAATTATGTTAGACAAAGTCCTGCTTGCGGCATTACAAAAAGGAGTTGGCGCGAGAAAAACACATGACGTTGAGGGGACCTGAAATGATGCATTGCTCGTCCTTGCGCAAGTCAAATGCTTGCTCTATGTGCACAGTTTCATTGAAGAAAACATTATGATTATATAGTCAAATGAGGGTTTGGTTCTCCCAGCTCGCTGCCCTCGCTGCTGCATGTTTGGAGGTCAATTACTGCTGCACCTCTGCTTTGCATTGTAACAACTACGTCGGGAAGGTGCGGTAGGGGACCCAACCAGAAATTCCGCCCTTTCGTGCAGTAGGTTGCCACTGGGTTTCTCGTCAGCTTACGCATGCATCGAGCTCTTAACTGCGCGCGCAAACCACTTGCGGTACACGCATGCTTGGCTAAAGTTGAGCGCTGAGTCACTGGCGAAGTGATTGTTTTGGCCAAACAAAACTCCGTGAATGTTGAACCTCGAGGTTTGAATGGATTGTTCATTGCTGTGTTTGATTCAAGCCGAATGGGCAGAATCCCTTGCATCTTGGCACAACTCGTTCTTCTGCGCTGGCCGCTTGGGATGCACATCCGTTTGTTGAAATTTTCAGGCCTTTGAGCAGCGAACTAGATCGCGTGACACATCGCAAGGTCTGCCTGTGTGTGTAACACACCCTCTCTAGAACGATTCATGAGCAGGGGGCTAGCGCATGGCATCACGACGCTGGCCAACGAAGAGTGGCGTCATGGGAAGCAATCAAACACGTCTGACTGTGTACCTGCTTCCGAATTTCTCTCAATCTCTGGTGATGCTTACGCAACGCTCAAGCTATCGCATTCGGCACTTGTTGTAAAGTGCAAATGCTCTCGTCCAATGTTGTAATGCGCTAATGAATCTTCCTGAAGCTTCACTGGACTGCGCCCCTACCAAGTGTGTGTGCCGCAGAATCATCTGATTGAGGCATGTTGTGTGATCTTGTTTGTGGGCGCTGATTCTTCAGGATTGTACCCAAAGTCATTATTGATCATGACTGCAAAGTCATTATTGATATTTTATTGCAAACTAACGGCATCTGCATGAAAACAAATGGATCGCAAACCGGCTGCATCAAACACTTGTTCGTTCTCTTTTTTTGCACCTACCTCTCTTTCTCTCTCTCTCTCTCTCTCTTCTCTCTCTTCTTTCTTTCTCTCTTTCTTGTAAAAATTTTATGTGTGGTAGTTCAAGCCGGCAAAAAACTGATTCCACACATCACACCACACATTGCAAACACGCTACGTCTCTTTATCTTTCGTGTGCCGAGGTACACCCCCTTGTTGGTGTGCTGCGCCTTTGACTGAGCAGCTGGAAACCACACCGGGACCAACAATCCTGCCTTGCGTCCATTTATTGCAATCAGGACAAATTTGCCGCTGAACTTAGCAGGAAACCTCCCGCTTATCTATACCTACCTCTTGCCTTTTTTTTGTGGCGTTTTTTGGAACAAGTTTGTAAAGCTTTACTTCCGTATAGGTCATCAGTTTCAGCATACCTCGTCAGTGTGCGCCGGGCTCGGCTCTCTTTGTGTGTGTAACACACCTCTCTACACTCTAGAACGATTCATGAGCAGGGGGCCAGCGCATGGCATCACGACGCTGGCCAACGAGGAGTGGTGTCATGGGAAGCAGTCAAAAACGTCTGACTGTGCACGTGCTTCCGAATTTCTCTTACGTAACGCTCAAGCTGTCGCATTCGGCATTCTGCTGTAAAGTGCAAATTTCAAATGCTCTCGTCCAATGTTGTAATGTAGAGCGCTAATGCATCTTCCTTGAAACTTCTCTGCTGGGCTCCTACCGTGCGTGCGTGCGTGCGTGCGGGCGGGCGGGCGGGCGGGTGTGTGTGTGTGTACCCCCTGTAGTCACAGGGATTCTTTTGAAGTTTGATGGATGACACTCACAAATCTTGAAGTGTACCACGTTGTTGCAGTTAAGGAATGACACGCACAAATCTTGAAGTGCAACCTTTGGAGTCACAATCCGTTTTTGGTGTTTTGTTGCTGTTTTGTTGCTGCTTTGTGTCTTGTGGGCCCTCTAACCTATTGCGCAAGCCTCCAACCTTGTCGCTATGGCTTTCTATTTGTGGTGTCCTTCTAGTAGTTTATACGCCGGTTGCCCTTAGGGCCGGCGCGTCCACTCTGCTCGACTGGATGCATTCCTATCCAGTCTGCAGAGTTGAGGTGGGCACAGACGCTTGCTGCTGCTTGCTGTTAACTCGGTACTTTGGCCTCCAAACTTAGGCGATGGCCTCCAACTTCTAGCGATGGCCTCTACTTTAACTTTAACTTGCCTTGTTTCCTAAGGTTTTATTACTTAGGCCGGCGCGTGGCGCCGCTGTCAAGTCAGTACGCGTATCCATAAGTGTGTCTGGCCCTGCGCCAGTCCGGGATGAGCCCGTAGAGTGCCTCCCGTGGACCCGTCGAACGGGCGTCTGTCCTGTCCGGGAACGTAGGTGTCCGAAGCGGACAGCAGGAGGCTTACGCCAAAGTTATTTGCCAAGACTTGACGGATTATTGAATTCCAAGTTGGCTCATGCCTTTACGTGACCGCAGCGGTCTAAGCTGGCTCAACGCCTCAACGTGGTCAGAGCGACCGAAATACTTTTGAGGTTTGCTGGAACCTGTCGCGAGCTTAGTCCCCCCCCTTCCCCTTCCCTCCCCTTTTCTTTCTTTGCTTTTTGGTGTTTTCCTGAATGGAATACTCAGGATCGCCCCTTTCCTTCTTTGGTGTGCCCCTGGACGATTGTTCGTAGCTGGGAACACCTGCCCTTTTCTTTTCTCTCCTCTCCCTTTCTCTCCCTCTCTTTCTTTCTTTCGTTCTTTCTTTCTTTCTTTCGTTCTTTCTTTTTTTCTTTTCTTTTCTTTTCTTTTCTTTTCTTTTCGTTTCTTTTCTTTTCTTTCTTTCTTTCCTCTCTTCACCTTCCTTAAGAAGTATCGCCGAGTCGGTCTTTACAACTCATTTGCTTCAGGACATCCGAGACAAAAGGCTTGACCTCAATGCCATCGCCGAAGCTCTCCACACAGCACAGGGAACTGAGATTCCCAATAAGACCACTCAGCCCAGGGCAAACCACGCACCACTCATTGCATTTCTCACCCAGCAATTGGAGGCCCATGCCCCTGCTGCAGCTGAGGGTCGCGCACGCCCTCAAAGCCACCACCGACGACTTGGAACGCGCACAAGCCAAGCTCCAAGCCCATGGCCTCCACCTCACACCATGCAAAGATGCCACTCGTCGCTCCACAGCTGCGACGGCACCTGCCCCTCCCGCAGCACCCCCCAACACACCAGCCTCCTTCCCTCACAGACGTACTCCAACCTCCCCACCCATCCCTCAAAGTTGATGTGCCAGATGCATGGACTAACGCGGCCATTCAGTCGTGGGTCTCTACCTTCAACATCGAAATCCAAGAGTCTGCATTAAAGAGGTCGTTCGCATTCTCCAAACCAGCAAGGTTACGACCGAACAGCTGAAGGAAGCTGCCACTCACTACGGCCTACCACTCGCCAAGCTCGGTCGTACCACCATCAAGTCCCTCCAAAGACTTGTCAGCATTGGAGCGGCACTCGCTTGTTGACTTAGTTTCCTCGGCCAGCAGTCACCCAACCCCACCAACATGCATCAACTTTTTCATCTTCACAGAGCCCTGTCAACTCTTATCCATCAATCCCACTACATTGAACGCGCCGACGCCCTCTTTGCTACAGGACTGCTACACCTCACTCTCCTCTTCACCTACCCTTCCTCCACCAGCTCCACATCCTCCCCCACACCTACCATTTTCACAACTTCCTCTCTCCCAATTCCGTGTACATCAAACTGCAGTTCAACATCCAACTCCCTCACCGGCGCTACCACCAACATGGCCACTTTTACATAGGCTCCACTGAACACAATCGCCGCGCCAAACTCAAGCAACTTCAAAACAACATTCCAGTATCAGCGGAACTGTCCTTACGTTACTGGCATGCGCACAACAACATCCACCACTACACCACCATCCAACTGTCGCCTCATGACACATATGATCAGGCTTGGATCCACGAACACAACCACATCTCCAATTGGATGGCCCCTCTGAATTGGCCGTTCATTTCACCCCATCTCAAACTGAAAGCCCAGGGCTGGCAATTTACAAAGCATAGAGCTCACTTCTACTCACACCTCGCCACCCACAAACGCCTCTTTCGCCGACTGCGCAGACGACAACACACCCTTCGGGAGCCACACCTTTTTACCTCCACAAAACACCACGCCTTCACGCAATCTCACCAAACATACATCCGCTTCTTTTGAAGCTGCCAAACAATTACGCAGCGGCCGCCACACTGACCTTGAGGTCTATCGATTCGACGCATGGGAGCCAAGCTCGAAGAGCCTGGCAGAAGTCGAGCCCTCCACATCATCCACCAAGCACTTCACTATCGCAACCAGACACCTCCACGACCCAACATCCCTCTCGCAGTCCCATTCCTCGCTCGTGAAGATTTCCTCAAGCATTTGCAGCAATGGCTTCAAACTACCATCCAACAACACAAACACCTTGCTATTCCCCTGCATTTGCCCACCCACAGGCTTCGAGAAGCCGCCCACGAAACCCTGCGAGCCCAACTACACAACCTAGGAGGAAGCCCTCCACACACCTCCTGATCCAGCAGATCTCCCCTGCGCATGCTCTCATCTCCACACACTTCGCCCACCACCAATGGACATTACATTCTCACCCTTGATCAACTTGCCTTGCCACCACATGTCTGCATCTTCCTGGACGCCAACATGAACAGCACTTTTTATCCAACCAAGGCTCGATATACTTTCTCACCTTTCAAGCAGCCTTCCACAAGTGGCTCAAGCTTCAAGGCCTTCCAGTCTCCCTGACTCGACACTTGGAACCTTTCTTACAACA